GACCCTGCTTCGGCAGGGGGGTTGGACTGGGTGACCCACAGAGGTCCCTGCCAACCCCCACCATGCTGTGATTCTGTGAAAAAGGATGCCTCACCAGTCTAAGTACAGATGGCAGGAACATGAGCTTCCTTGCCCGAGAACAAACACTTGAGTGGGCCAGGTTAATGTGGTTGCGCACTCTCGTACAGGCAGAGCCATTCGCCATCAGAAGGACTTTGCCAGCATCCTGCTCCTGGACCACAGGTACGCGCGCCCTGCCGTCTTCAACAAACTGCCGCAGTGGATCAGGGAGAGGACCCAGGTGAAGCCTGCCTTTGGATCAGCGTTCGCGGAGCTAAGAAAGGTCAGAACTTGCATCTTGTGTACTGCTGCCACCGCTGCGTCTCACTGTACTCAGCTGTACTTTTCTGAAACCTTCACTTTGTCCCTTTAGTGTAAGGCCAGGGACAAACTGTCTGGTTTTGTGTGTTCCTAGTTCCATCGAGGGAAGCTGGATGCTTTGTGACGCGGACCAGGGAACAGGCTGTAGGTCAGCTCTGTGAGGTCAGCTCTGTGAGCTATGCCTTTGAAGAACACCTGAAGCTTTTCTGTAACAAGAAGTTTGTGAATCTCCTCCTCCTGCCATCTTTGTAGATGTTTGCTGTTCAGTATCTGAGCGCTACGATGCGGAGACCTAGCCTTCAGCAGCGTAACGAGGAGGAAACTGGGTGTAGTTCTGAGGCTGGTGAAGGCAGCAGGCTCCTATTTGTTTACAGCTGTTAAGATTTTATTTAAACTGATTAAATATTTTCAACCCAAACACTGAAGTGGGAGGAGTATAATTATTTTGATTGACCACGTCTGCCTTTACCTATGAAACCACCACCTCTAGGGGGCTTGATGACCAAGGAAAAGAAGCAGAAACATTAGTTGATGCCATGTTGGAATTACACATCAGACTGGTAAGACACGGGGCAGCTACTGGTAGCATTTCTTATCCTCTGCTTTCTGTCTTTCTTCAAGCAGGCAACAGATTCTAGGAGTGATGAATTCTTTCCAGGGAAGTAAAGATAGGGCCATAATACAGCACAGCACTTCTCCTCTGATCGTGCTTAAACATAGCGTTGCTCTGCTCTTTTTGCTGCCTAGTTTCTTTTTTAATTCAAAGTAACTTCCTTTGGGGAATGGTAAAAAATTTTTTTGGGTGTGTGTCACCTTCCTAGGCTTCTGTCCTAGGTCAGGGGAGAAATAACAACAGGGATGGCTACCTCATCCCACAGCTGCTCCCAGCTCACTCTTCTGTTATCCCGAGCAAGTCTCCTCCCAGGAGCTGTTTCGCGTCCTTGCCCGTAGCAGCAGCTGGATGCTGCCTCTCAAGGCTCTCCACAAGACATAAAACACTTAGAATTGTAAGCTGGTACCCATTCCCTACGTGCCCATTAGCCCCACAGGGAAAGAAACAGCTGCTTCTGAGAGTGTCCTGTCCCTGTGGTGGGTACAAAGCCCCTCCTCTGGCACTGGGGCTGGGGTGTAAGGCTCAGCCCCTGCCTGAGAGCAGACGGGACAGCTAGGCTTTCCCATAAAAGACACTTCCCCTCTTCTGCCAGAGCGAAGGCTGCAAGGGCCTGCTTCCTTCAACTTTATTGAAATTCTTCAGACAGCAGCAGGCAAAGAAGTATCATAAGCCAGGCAGCCAAAGAAACCAGCACGGGCAGAGGCACCAGGAATAGCCCCCGCACGAAGGGACCCACACACACTCATTCTCTCTTCTAGCAACACCCAAGCAACCAGGAGCTTCAGCAAGCAGCAAGGAGACAAATGAGGCCAGGGCTGTTTGCCTGCAAGAGCTGCTTTTGCAGTCACCACCAGTCACATGAGGGAAGACCGAGGGCCCTTTAAATCAGGAGCAACGCTTGGTCTGATCCCACACCCGGCAGCTCAGGCAGGATTTACTGCACAGGGGGGAGCAGCAGGAGCGTTCCAGATGGAATGGAGTAGTTGGAGTGGAGAACAGCAGACAGCAGCAGAAGAACCCTCACTGATAGCTGTCACCTCAGCAGGGGCTAGCTCCTGCTCTTCTCCAAAAAAGAAACACCAGCATCCCCCTGCCATGGGGCTGGTGTCTCTCAAAGGTGCTTAGGTCAAGAGTGCTGGGATTTGCACTGATGCTCAACTGCCCTCAGTCTATGACTCCCAGTCATCCTCGTCTTCCTCACCCACAGGCTGCTGTGGGGGTGGGAGGGGTGGTATTGAGTCCGACATACGAGCAAAGGCACCGGCAGGAGTTCCACCAGCATCAGGATTTCCAGAGGCTCCTGGCCCTTTCCCCGAAATACCTGTGAGGGAAGGAAAAGCACCAGTGAGTGACAGCCCCACGGGTGGGCTCAGCAAAGGGGACAGCAAAAACATGCCTCGCACCACAGCTCCCGCCAGCCCCCGGGTGACCCTGCGCAAGGCCTCGTTTAACTAAAGCTCCACCTGAGCACGTCCCTCCCCTCTGCCCCACCGAGGGGCAACACAGGCCCTAAATGCCCAGGATACCTGCTGAGGCAACTGAGGAGCCTCCACGGGTGAAGGGCCCAGCTGCCCTGGTACTGAATTAAAAACAGACCACAGCTGTCCCTTCCTCATGGCCAACCTTCAGCATCCATCCTCTGCCTTGGACACACACCCTCCTCCCGTGTCTCCAGCTGGACTTGAGGTAGCAGTTCCCCTGCTCGCCCTCTGTAGAGTCATTCCCAGCCACGCTATGGCACACTCGCCGGGCAAAGTGTCTCTGTTCCTTTTTCTAGGGCTGTGGTGGACACCACTGAGGAGCCAGAAAGGGCTCTCCCCCTTTCCAAGGGGGAAGGAGCAGCCCACCCTGCAGGACAGGGGGACAACGGGCACAAACTGAAGCAGAGGAAGTTCCAGCTGAACAGGAGGAAGAACTTCTTCACTCTGAGGGAGCCCTGGCACAGGCTGCCCAGGGAGGCTGTGGAGTCTCCTTCTCTAGAGATATTCCAGACCCACCTGGACAAGGTCCTCTACAGCCTACTGTAGGTGACCCTGCTTCGGCAGGGACGTTGGACTGGGTGACCCACAGAGGTCCCTTCCAACCCTGACCATTCTGTCATTCTGTGACAGTACCTTTGCGCCTCAGCACCAGCTTGTTGAAGAGGTCTGACATCAAATCTCCACCTTGTCCCGTAGCTCTCACTGAAACAGAGCAAAACCGTGTGAGTCGGGTGAGGAGGAAGAGTCAGTCTGAACCTAGCCCTGTGGCGACAGCTTTCTCCTTCAGATTAAAGAAAAAAAAAAATACCCTCCAGTCTTGTATCACACCCCTCCTCTCAGCCCTGTCCTGCTCGAGCCCAGAGCTCCCTGTCTGTCCCACGCAGCACACACGAAACTTCCACACATGCCCGGAGCCGGAGTGCGTCTCCACCCACAACACGAATGTCCTCCTGGCAGATGGAATTCGGAAGTTCCCAGACAAGTTCTGCTGCAGAGCCTCAGCACCTTGTTCTTGTTCCTTTTGCTTCTTCTTCTCCAGCTTCCTCTCCTTGACGCTGCGCAGCTTGGCCTTCCCAATGCCGCCGGCCTGGCGGATGGACTCCAGCAGGCTGGCGCGCCCCGTAGAGGGGTTCACCACCTCCTTCGGGGCTCCCTGTACCGCGGCTGCAGGGAGAGGAAGGGCAGGGGTCAGCGCACCAGCTCCAGGCCCAGCCAAATCCCCATCAAACGGGCTGCTCCGATACCCCTCTGCCAGAGGGCCGGGAAACCACGGGGAACCAAGCAAGGACACGGGCTGAAGGCAAGGAGTCAGGGGTAGATGCTGCTGCAGCCCTTACCTGCAGGCACCGCATTGCTGCTCTCCTCGCTCGCTGTCCGGGCAGG